TCCTTAAATGCCTGACAACGTGGGTTAAAACCACGGTGATTATTTAGCAGGAGCTATTTGCGATTTATTGAAGAGAATAGAATAAATGCAGCCTATTACTGGAAACGAAGCCAGAAAAAAACTGACTTTAAACGGGATTCCAACCCACGACCTTTGCGAAACCGGTGCAATGCTCTACCAACTGAGCTCTTTCTGGCTTCTTTTCCAGTAGTAGGCTGCATATTCGCATTTCAGCAATTTATACTCTCCAATTACTGAAGGACATACATATATACTGTAAGGTGTCAGTTCACGAACCCCTGGTATTCACATTTAATGAAAAAGGAAAGGAAATGTGGCTGCTAATAATCGCGCTCTCTGTTACGGAAACGTTTTAAATTCACAAAGACATAAACATGCTTTCAGCTAGAGGTTTCTTTTTTTTTTTACATCGACTGATTACGGAGCAGTCATAAGATTAAAGTTTTGGTTCGTTTTTACTGAGTTACATAAAGCCGGAAAACCCTCCAAGTAAGGGATAGAACGATCGAAACTCAAATAACCGACCGATAATAAAACAGGTTCCCCAGAGGTGACAGAGTAGCGGTTACCTGAGTCTCAAGGAGGTGTTGTACCAGTGATGGGATAATCATCCGTCGCCAAAGCATGTTAAACTTCCCAAAATTGTTCAATAGATACTTATATCTCCTAATAAGCGCTTTTATGTCCAGGGTACATGCTAGTTTTAAAACAAACAAAAATAACCAACAGTTGACAAAGAAGCGCTTGAGGACTACTATGAAGTTTTGAAGAGAATTCATTTTCCAAGGGCAATTTACACAGTATAATGCCCAAGATTTCATGCTATTGTTTTTATTATTGAATAAAAAAAATTACTCCGCGACAATTTAATAAGCGCTATCTTTACTCCACTATATTTTGCCCATGATCTTTCGCAGTAGATTGCATGTTTAAGGCTTTTTTCCCGTAAACAGATGAAAAGCTTAGTAGCAATTGTCTGTCTGTTTCTCTGCTCTGGACTTCTTGTTGTAGCAGCGGAGAAAAAGCAAGAGGCAAAGCGGTTGTCTATCATTAGACCTCTACCGTTTCCAACCTCTAGGGTCTATCTTCCTGGCATCAGCATCGAAGCTGAAAAATTCAAAGAAAATTACACATACTGCTATTGCTTCAAATACAAGTGCCTTGGTATGCTTCTTTTGACTTTTATTTTAAATATAAAATGTTGACGTCGGAAGACGCGTTTGTTTACCTTTTTTCTCTATCTGTTTATTTACACCTGATTTCAAATGAGTGCGAACTCTCGATTTTTTTTTGAACGCTAAAACTTTCACTCGACCGTCATTCACTCGACCGCTTGGTAACCAGGCACACGTGTTTAGTAAGTGATGCGTGACTTTCTTTACCGGGACATTATGGAGGAAGACGCCACGGTGGTCTTCGTTAGAGATAGATCCGGCGATTCTACCTGCGGTCCTGTTTCACGGAACATTCTACTTCACTCAAAGACGTCCAACGGGAAAGCGGAAGGAGAACCCATTGCAGCTGTTCTAAATGAAGGTCAACTAAAGTCATTGAAGGCGCTGAAAAGTGCTTTGACAAAAATTATCAAAGAATTACAACAACAAGATGTTGAAATAGAAAACATATACTATGTATGTAAAGGAAAAAGAAGCCTACCTGTTGTATCGATATTTAATGAAACCGGGATAAAGCAGGCGTTAGAAGAGTACCCTGAAATACAACGGAACGGACACCGGAGCACAGCACTGCTTAAATTAGCATGCGATTGGCACCTGAGAGGTGAGGTTATTCTTTTATTTACACTTGACCCATGTATTTCTATGTAAAGCTAGTGTGATGTCGTACGATTGCATGTCAAATATATGCAGATATCAGGGATGAAGGACGAGTTGTAGCTGGTTTTCAAAATAATTTTGTTTATACATGTACATAGCACATGTCATCCGATTGAATGGAAATTTAGGGACGCCGGAGTTGTGTTGAAAGACCTCCCCAATACACTATTATTTATTACAATGATACAATAATAATACGATACTACACTTGTAATACATCGCGTGAACGAATGTTGATTACGTCGGAAGCCATTCAAATGTTCTACTGATAAATCATGTTGATAAATTTATTATCGTACATTTTGGGCCAGTTAGTTTCTGAAGCTTTTCTCGGTCTTTAGCTCAAGAATTTGCCATGAAGGCGTAAGCAAATAACACATGTATGTTGTTGCGTAGTTTTTGGTTTTAGTTCCTTCAGACAAATGCATTGAAATTACGTTTAAAGACATTTTCTCGATCAGCAAGATGCGGATTTCCGATCAACAAAGTGTTGATCACTTCGGCTAGGAAGCCATTCAAATGTTACATTAATTTATTTCAGACGGTCAGACAGACTGTCTAGCCGCAACATCTACATACCGTCAAATAAAAGGTCGTTGAAAATACGTTACTTTATTGACTTTACGTGTATTTCAACTTGAAAATGTAAATAAATACATAACCTTCGGATTTTCATTTTGTTCAAAAAACTCTTTTTTTCCTAAAATTCTAAAAATTCGGGGTTGAGCTTTTACCTACGGATGCGGTTTATACACGGGTAAATACGGTAGTTCACATTCAAAATATACTTAGGTCTAGAAAAAGGATATGTTTCAGGGCCGTAGCCAGAAGATTTATCGGGGGGGAGCACATCAAATAAGAAAACGGACCTATGTAAATGTAACAACCAAGTTCACAATTATTTACTGGTTATATATGACACATAAACATAAAACAAAGGCTTGCATCACATGAATTAATTA